AATTTCAATTAAATGTCAAATTAGAATCCAAATCTAATTTCAATAATATATTAAGGTGGATAATTTAATTAAAATCAAATTTTAATTAAATATTAGATTAGAGTCAAACTCTATTTTAATTGAATTAACATTTTAATTTAGGATAAAAATCCTAAATAAAATAAAATTCAATTTAGGGTCAAAATTTAATATTTAAATTAAAATTCAATTTTAACGAAAATATAAAAGGTCGTCAATTTTAAATAAAATTTTAAACGGGTCAAAATTGAAATTTTAGGTCAAATTCATTTGAAAATCAAATCTAAAACCATTTTAATATTTAAATTCAAAATTATTTTGAAAATTGCAAATTGACCCAAGTTTAAAATTGTAAATAGGCCCTTCAATTATTTAAATTGCATGACATGCCGTTTTTCAAATAATTGCAAATTTAACCCTAGATTCATAATTGTCGGGGGTGGCCTGAAATTCCATAAATTTCACGGGAGGCCCCCGCCTCCACCTCTTCTCTCCTGGTAACAGAAAACCCTATAAAATCCCTAAACCTTTACTCCCGGCGGCACCAGATGAGGCTGATCATTGCCGCTTGGCAGCGGCAACAACTCGTTAGCGAGGGCCTGAAATTTCGTAAATTTCATGAGAGGCCCCCGCCTCCACTGCTTCTCTCCCCGTAACAGAAAACTCTATAAAATATCTAAACCTTTACTCCCCAGTGGCGCCAAATGAGGCTGATCATTGCCAGTTGACAGCGGCAGCAACTCCAACGAGCTGCTGCTGGGCTGCAACGTAGCGATAGTTGCGATTTCAAGTGTCGCTGCAAATTGCAGCGATGGCGAGCTCCGCAGCAGCATCAGCGACAGTCGTCTCTGCTCTCCTCCATGGCGGCGCCCTCCTGCTGCCGTGCGTGGAAGCAGGTTTTGCTGCTATGCCCGACGGCGGCGATCCTTTTCCAATCATTTTTTTTATTTAACAGATTTTAAAATATGAAAAATAAAAATTTCTTAATTGCTAGGAATATGAAAAATAACAACAATCAACTTTTAATTGCTATATAATACAAAACGATTTCTAAAAAATACAAAGTAGGCTCTGATATCACTGTTAGGAATTTACTTAATCATGCACAGCGAAAATATTCTCACTAAGGATCTGCAATTTGTTTAGATAGAAATTGTGATAAGAATTATACTTTTAATGAATTCTGCAAACTGCTTTACTGATTCTCGAACTCCAATAATCACGATCTGCAATCTAAGCTGTCCAAT